CTCATGTCACTGTACTTCCTCTGACTGGTCCTAGATTCGATCCCGGGACGTTGGCAGGATTTTCGGAGGTCGAATTCAGGTCGTTGTCTGAGGAAGAATTTTCATGGGTAGTTTCCGGGGAGGTTCCTCCGAACATACCAGCGTGTGAATTAGCGAGTAAACCTAAACACTCCGCTGCTCGGATAGCGAGCGGTTCTTTCCTTCTTCTTCCTGGACCTAGCCTCACCCCTTACATACACTTACGTGCACTTTCAACCACGACTCATCCGGGAGTCCGGTCGGAACTTCCAGGCTTGTCCTGGCTGGGGCGGTGTCCAACTGTGGCGGTGACACTTGGTTGCGGAAAAACCCCGCTAGCGACGTAGATCGGCCGCCGAATCTCACCAACCAAGTGGGGCAATATCACCCCCACCTCTCTCTCTCTCTCTCTGCCCCTCCCCTCCCTCGTCCTACTCTCTCCTCCTCTCATCTACTCATCTCTCTCTCTAGAAGAGCAGAGATGATGAGAGAGAGATGAGAGAATGCAGGAGAGAGAAGATGATGAGAGAGAGAGAAAATGCATTAACACTTACGGACTAATGGGCTTTAAATATTGGCGCTCCCAGAATTATCAATCAATCACTCCAAATCCCGCGTTTCCTTCCTCCGGCCCCTCCCTCACCGCTCGTGGCGAGTGTTCTCCAGCTAGCATTTGTAGTCCATGCGATTCATATACATAACGAGGATTTTTCGCAACGAGGAGGTTTTCCTGCCAACCCTGTCACTGAATCATGCATTTGAGTACGAAATTTTAGAAAGATCATTTAAAAAATTCGGAAATTGTCTAATAAGTAGATACGTTATTATTGTTGTGTTTCGTGTTTTTATTTTCATCTGTGTAATGGTTTTCTAACAGTGGTAGTGTGAACAAACTGCTTCATTTCTGTGATCTGGCATTTTAGAGTTCGATTCATGTCAAAACGATCATTTTGCTCAAAAAAAAACGTTAGATACAACACTTGTCATTCTAAGACTAAAGTTTTTACATTTCACTTTCCTTTGCTTTCCTTTCATATGCTCTAGTAGTGCTTCCCTAAGACTTTCATGTGTGAATAATTGTCACGTCCAATCAAAATAGAGAGAATTGATGATTTGAGTTGGAGATCGAAAGCCATAACGTAATTTCGGTGGTCTGTAACAGCTTTATCTGGTTAGAGCGTTTTCTCGGTGTAGTAAAATTATCTTTCGAGGTTGATATTGGAAAAAAATACCACCCGGATGCTGCTTTTCATCAATGGAATTCGTGGCTTTCCCGTCAAACCTTTTAATGCAATTGGTGTTCACCTCGTCCGAATTGTGTCAGATTCTGTGTTTCCGTACTTTCGCTTGTTGGCAATATTGTCTCTTTTGTGAAATTTGTGTTGTGTGAATTGGTTTTGTGTATTGTTTAAATGTGTTTTTTGTCAAAACACATTGTTGGAAACTAATGTAAAGTTTCTTGACAAACACTCAGTTTATTTGTCCAAAAGCTATTTCTCTCTCGAGACAGCAGAAGTTAAGGATTACACCGAAAATCTCCCCTGATTAGAAAACTTGTTTCAAAATGCTCCCGTCCATTTTTCACAGAACAATAAATATAATTGTAAGTGTTAAATCTTGACGCCACTTTTCGATGGCTGCTTAGATATCAAGGGCGAGTAGATTTGAGAAATTGTCAAGAACACACTTAGAGTGCAACACAGTGAGGTTATGGCCCTCTACGTCCCGCAACCCCGCATGTACGAAGCATTCTTAAATTGTATGTACTTGGACAATGTCCCTCTTTATTATTGACTACTTTGTTAAGTAAAGATAAAGGGACTTTCTGGTTTTATATTATTAATAAGAAAGAGCGATATTAACGGTTATTGGCCCGGACTTGTAGCATTGTACACCAGTTAGACGGACGAATTTATTAGTTTCTGGGATGTCAAGGTCTAAACAAGTTTCTCACCATGATATAAGTTGAAATTATGCTTTAGTTCATTTAAAAAAGGGCCAAAAATAATACATTAATATTAGTAATTATAAATATAGAATCTACAAAACTCTTACAAAGATAATATAAAATTGAAAATCTCAGTAGTTAATATGAACAAAAAAATTTTGTTAATTTTCGAGCGGGGACATGCTGCTCTAGCTCACTTCTGTCTATGCAAGGCAATGATGTTTCCATACTGGGGAGTGGGCCTCTATGAGGATAATGCCAAACTAAACTAGATACATTCGTGCAATTTTTATGTGAACGTCGAAACAATTATATGCCTGGAAAGTCGGTAGTTTTAAGGCACTGAATATTGTGTTATGTAAGGCACTGATGTGTTGTTGTAGCACTGAGTGTGTTTGTAAGGCACTGAAGTGTGTTCTGTAAGGCACTGAAGTGTGTTTGTAAGCAACTGACAGGTGTTTTGTAAGGCAGAAAGTTAGCACGTGAAGGTGTTCTGTTAAGGCACTGAAGTGTGTTTGTAAGCCAACTGAGATGTGTTTGTAAGGCACTGAATAGCAAGTGTGTTTGTAAGGCACTGAAGTGTGTTTTGTTAAGCACTGAAGTGTGTTTTGCCCCTGAAGTAGGCGAACGTGGGCATAAGGTGTTTTTTAACGGCACTGAAGTGTGTTTTTTAAGGCACGTGAAGTGCTGTTTTAAGCACTGAAGTGTGTTTTTAAGCACTGAAGTGTGTTTTAAAGCACTGAAGTTGGCACTGAGGTGTTTTTAAGCACTGAAGTATGTGTTTTAAGGCACTAAGTGTGTTTTTGACTGAAGGTCTTTAAGCACTGAGTTTGTTTTTAGGCACTGAAGTTTGTTTTTTAAGGCGATCTGGAAGTGTGTTTTTGAGGGCAACTAGAGTGTTTTTTAAGCACTGAAGTGTGATTTCCTTCTCATGTTCATTGGTTATTGTGTGTGTGTTTGCAGAACGACATGGCTGGCGCCACTCGCTCTTCCAGCTTCACGCGCCGAGCAGCACGCGAGCGTGAACGGCGGCAGCTAGAACCGTCGGACACATGCAGACTCGCCGCCCCGCCGCCCACGCGCAAACAGCGCTTGCCGCCGTACTCTCCCAGAGTGAGCGAGCGTGCTCGGCCTTCGCCTCACTCGGTGTTGCATGCGTTTGGCCTCCCGCAGTCATTCGTCCCCGCGAGTGTAGTGCATGCACCGCCGGAAATGGTGTTGCTGATGAAACGCCTCTGACCGGGAGGTCCTAGGGTTCATAGTCCGACGTGCAGTATTTACGACACTGATTGCTGGATGGTGTCAGCCGCTGTCCGGAGAAGAATTCTAGCGACCGACTGCGCAACGCCAGGCGTTAAGCCGCGACCGGTTACCTCTAACAAACGAGTCGCGGAACCGCCCCCCCCCCCGATTCTTTCGTTCGTTCTTCCTTGCCCCTTACACTAAATACAGTTATCAACTTAGCATCCACTACACTGCCACTCATGTAAGTTCAAAATCGAGAGCTTAGACTTGTCTCCGCTGTGTCCAATGGTGGGAGCATACCTGGCAGCGGAAAATCTTGTAAGCCTGAGTTAGGGTCGCCACCGATTCACCTATTACGTGAGAGGAAGATCCATCTCGCCACCTACTCTGATAAAACATGCTCTACACGTAATGACATAGCATTCACTGTGCCCCGGAAACGCGAATTATAATGTAGTGCATGTTACTATTCCGACGGCGCCGTCTAAGTTTAGGCACTAATTCTGGCCGAAAACATCAGTCGGTTGATGTCGGTTACGAACAGAAACAATCTCTGTTCCGCCTATCCAGCTAATTTTTCTCTGGCGTCGTCGCGAAGAGATCTTTCGAGTATCACCTTAAGACCCATCGTTGTCACCCATCACGTCTTCCTTGGAATGAACCTGGCAAAATCGGACGATAATCATCCAACATCGGAGGTCAAATAAATTCCGCAAAATCGGCTCTCTCCAGGTCTCACAGCATAGGCTTTGAGCGTCACTGCACCAAATTTATTGGTGAGACGATTAGGTGGATAAGGTTACAGATATTAGGAGTCCCCTTCAAAAGACATCATATATACAAAAAAAAAATACTTCTGGGGGGTGGGAGGCGGCGTCCCCGATTGGTGACGCCTGTAGTGAAAGAGTGAGTGTATTTTGTGTGTATTGCCATCCCAATCAACGCATTGATTATTTGTTTTCGCACCTCAGTCCAGGTCAAAAAAGTGGCGGCAAAGGGACACTTCAAAAACGCGCTAAGAACAAGGCAATGAGATTGTGTACTGATTGTATTTTCGAGCTGGTGGGTGACCGTCCTACTTTTAAAGCGGCTCACACATTCGACATTGGACTTTTGACAAGAGACTGCGCGGCGCCAAATTCCTAGTAGCCGCCCTAAACGACTGTTCGCTTCCTTGAAAAGGGAAAGTCGGCGTTTACGGTTAAAGACGGAAAGGCATGCCCTAACCCACCACTACTCGGTTGATTCCGAGCCTTTCGGTCGCCCCTCCTCGCCTAATAGTTGTGCTCCACACATGTGGACATCTTCCCGCGCGTAACCCGAGCAACCGCATCGATCGAATACGAGTAGTATGGAACAGGGAGTTGCCTTGGCGATAATTCGCCGAGCGCCAAAAACATCCGTTATTCGCCCTACGTGTCCGTGTCTTGAGGACACACCAAAGGGAAGTCACCATATACATTTCACCGAAAACCCTAATCAGCGCTGCTCGGATGGCGAGCAGAGGAGCTCGCTTGCTCGGGCGAATGCCGTAAATGTGTGCAGAAGCCCTCTTTAAAAGAGCGTCGCCGTAAGTAGAGGTGGAGACACCGCTGTCGCCCAAAGGCGCTCTTCTGTATACATCGGCTGGACGGTCGGTCTGCAGGCGGTAGCCTTCGGGCAGGGACGACACAGAGCAGCGCGGACAGCGGACGTCGACGGCGCTGAGCTCGCCGCCGCCGCCGCCGCCGCCGCGCGCCGCCGCGCAGGCGCCGCCTCTCGAGCCTCTCGGCAGTCAGACGTCGGCGTGCGGCGTCTGCTCGAGAGGCCCCAGCGCCGGGTGCGGCTCGCCCGGGGCGTCGGAACGCCAGCGGTCCAGGCGTGAGGCATGTCTGGCAACGGCGCGCAGCGGACGTCGCTCCGCCCGCCTCGCAGCGCTTCTCCGCGCGCCCTTCGTGCTGTCGCCTGGTACGCAGCGCGCCGTGTCGCAGCGGCGACGCCGTCAACTTAACTAGCCGGTGACGGTGATGGGCTACTGCACGTGCCGGGCCGCCCGCCCCCGCCCCCAGGCCCCGCCACGCGCAAGCCGCGAGTGAGTGCAGAGCGCCCGCGTGCGGCGGCATGTTTGGAGTCGGTTTTGCGCCCAGAGGGAAAACATAGGAAACCGAAACTATTTGCTAGTCTTTTCCTCTTTCTGTTTGTCCCTGCGATCAAGCGTTCTTTGTCCGAACCGCCCGTTCCTCCGCCCTATCCTGTCCACGTTACGCGCCGCCCAGAGTAACATCTCGTGATAATGCAGTTTGACAACGTGGTTTATTAAATAAAATTATACTATATTAATGAACTCTGATTTCGTGCTGTTTTTAATGATTTAAGCTATTATTTGGAAGTCAGAAAAAAATGTATTTTAGTACAAAGTACAAACACACGTTAAACAATAAACAACCTCAATTATAACCAAGTTATACACATTGAAACTCCTTATAAGTTCATGACATACAAAAGATTCTAAATATCATGTTGAGATGTAACGTGCAACATACTTGCAGATTTTTTACTCTATAATCTGTAAATAACTCCTAAACGAAGAGCGTACGGAGGCCTTAAAAAACGTTATCTACCAGGATGAAATCTTCTTTGAACAATTCCCTCTCTCCGATTTCTGCTGGTCTGGCGCTTCTCGAAATATTTGCACCACTTCTGTATGAGAGCGAAGGGGAGAGAGTGAAGAGGACGAAGAGAGATGGAGAGGCGAGATGAAAGGCCTGATCAACATCTGCCTGGTGGTTCTGCTAGTGTGCTTGCGTGCAGCGCGCTCTCTCTCTCTCTCTCCCCTCTCTCTCTCTCTCCTCCTCTTCTCTCTCCCTCTCTTTCTCTCTCCCTCTCTTCTTCTCCCTCTCTCTCTCTCTCGTCCCTCTGCTCTCTCTTTCTCTCTTGTCTCTTTCCTCTCCTTTTCTCTCTTTCTCTCTCTTTCTCTCTTTTTCTCTCTTTCTCTCTCTTTTTCTCTCTATTGCTCTCCCTTTCTCTCTAATTTCTCTCTCTTTTCTCTCTCTCTTTCTCTCTCTCTCTTTCTCTCTTTTCTTCTCTCTCTCTTTCTCCTCTCTCCTTTATCTCTCTCCTTATCTCTCTCTCTTTATCTCTCTCTCTTATCTCTCTCTCTTTTCTCTCTCCCTTTCTCTCTCTTTCTCTCTCTCTTCTCTCTCTTTCTCTCTCCTCTCTCTTCTCTCTCTATATATATATATATAATATATATAATATATATATATATATATATATATAATATATATATATATATCCACAACCACATTCCTACGTACATACATTTTTTAACATAGGGTTAGTTCCGCCATATATAACTCAAGAATGGCTGGGCCACTTTTAATTACCTCTAATTTGTGGGATTCACTTCCGCCCGGAATAGCAGAATAACTATTAAAATGTCGGATACATTCACTAGATTGCGCTAGTAGAACAAAACTAAATATTCATGTCAAATGCAACCCGCAACGCACTCAGCAGGAATTTTTTTTTATCCATATCGTTAAAGAACTAAAAGTAGCATTCTAGGCCATTAAAAACTAAAACTTTGAGGCCAAAGGTCTCAAAGAAACTTTTCTCATACCATAATCTACAGGATGAGCTCTTTTTTAACATTCGATTAGGTTTTTGCTGGGGGGGGGGGAGACGAAGTGAGAGAAGGGGGACGAATGGCAGAATGTCTGCCGGTTTTCGCTAGTTTACATTATAAAGTGGAATTTAGGAAAAGGAAGGGGGCATTTACTTTTCCAGGTATTTCGGAGCTACTAGATATTATTTTGTAATTCATGATGAAGACCAATTTATGTTCAGATATAAAAATATTAATACTCCTCCCTAATCCGGACGTTATATCATCATTGCCTCTGCAAACATTGCTGATTTTCATTCTTCACACAATAATTTTCTGATACTGACTTGAAGTCCAACATTACAATATTGCGATTTTTGTAGACCTACAGCACATCATTTCCAAAAATTATGGTTACAGTTGTGTTCAACAGAATAATTTATCAGACAATGACACTAGTTAACATTTATCAAAAGTATACATGCCAAATCCTGGCATTGTAATAAATACATGAATGTTTACCTGTTTAATTTATTTAGCTTATTGTTTAAAAAAAAGAAATTTTAACTGTATAACAATATCATGGTATAGTAATATCGCAATAAAGTATGTCTCAGAATAAATGTTATAAATTTCTAAAGTATGTTATGGACCCAAAGATAATAACTTTTTGCCAATGAATGTTGGAATCTTCTTGTAAATAAGTTCATGTATGATATTTACTCCATAATGTTAGGCAGCTCCACATGTTCTGACAAATGGCGAAAGATTTCACATACTTGCCCACCATCAGTGTATATGAATTTACATGACAACCAGGGACAAATATTTTCATTCATTTCAAATCATTTCACATACTTGCCCACCATCAGTGTATATGAATTTACATGACAACCAGGGACAAATATTATCTGTGTAACTTTGTTATAAGCAAATCAACCGCATGTTTATAATTAATTATTAATTATTGGCAAAGAGTTATTGTCTTTGATCTTTCTACATGACCTAAAAGTTTCTAACATTTACTTTGAGACCACAGAATAATCAATAGTAGTCTCATGTATGGTGAATACAATAACTAAGTCGTTAACTAAAAAACATTAAGTGTGGTATTTGCCGTGTAAATATTTTAAAGCACTAAAAAAATTATCAGTGATTTACTTCCAGCTGTCCAACCATTTCAGTAGTAGAGATATTAGATTATAGAAATGTTTTTATCCCATTGATATGCTGTCGACATTCAAAGGTTTTGTGAAAAAAGGTTTTCTGTGGGTCTCTACCATCTCAAAAATCAAATTCTCTCCATTTCCATTTGACTTCAGACACTGCACACTTTTGATTGGTTCTGTTATGATGGAGACTGCCCCACAAACATATGGTTTTGATCTGATTGAGACCAGGGGTGTCTAACTTGCAATGGCTCAAGGACCACAACTAAAACTTTTAATACGCTTGCGGGCCATGTTTTCATTACACGGGCAATCTACACCAGACTTCTCTGTATTGTTGATATTAGCAGTTGGCCTGGCTGCCCTGAAATAGGAAAGAAGGGATTGAACCATGTGTGATATAAGGTTGTACACGTTCGATAGACACTCACATGTTCTCACAAGTCATGGGTCTTTCATTTTTGACTAATAAATTTTCTGGTGCCCAAATAAATGGCACCTCATGCTGCCAGTTGGACAATCCTGATTTAGACTATACCAGGGTAATTCGAAACTTTCTGGTTTTGTCTGCTTTACTCACTTGATAGAATCTTTGATAATATCCATCTGATCTTGGAGTGGAGGTAGCTTGCATTATTCAAAGTGAACCAGTATTTTGTGAGTGTTTTATTTTTAAGCATGTATTAGTAGTCTCTTCACTTGTATCAACATCTTTATTTCTTCTGTTCTTCAAAAAGCATGAGAAAGAAGCAATGCGTATTGTGGTTCTCAGCCAGTCAGCTATCCCATACTTTCATGCCTCAATACTCTGTTCAGATAAAAAAAAAATAATTTAACAATGAAAATGATATTACTGAACAATTCTTTTGACTTATTGAGTATATATTTCTTGTGTCAAAATATAAACAAATTGATAGTTTTAGTTAGAAAATTTTGCTTTTGAGAACACTAAATATTTTGCACTTAAAAATATGTTTGAATGACAAATTAAAAATGTTTGCATAGGTATTTGAGAAATAAGAAGATATTTATTATTGCATGTGCTGGAATATTAAACACAAATTCAAGATTTCTTGATTACTAAAGGTTATAAAATGTACATATTCATTTATTTTATTTAATTTTATTTACCATAAAAATTGAAGTCTTGCTATGTTATTTTCGATTTTCTTTCTCTAGATTTCCAAATGTAAATTAAGACATATTAGTGAAGCATCAGAGAATGGAAGAAGTCAGAAAGAAAGGCACTGAACTTAACAAAAATCAGATTATACAGTCTTATTTTCAGATAACCAAATAATTTTGGCCAAATCAGAAGATGAACTCTGAATAGCAACACAAATTGAACAAAGTAGCAAAGCCCTATGACATGAAAATATTGACAAATAAAAAATAAAAAATGGTCTTCCAAGGAAAGGAACTAAGAATAGTGAAGATAAGTCATTGAAGGGGAATTAATAGAACAATTTTCAACATTCAAATATTTAGGCAATGGTAATAGATAAAACTCCCATGACCTGCAACACATAATTTTGAAATAGAATAGAATAAATGGGATAATTAAAAGACATTTTGGGAAGGACATAACACAGGAAACCAAATTAAGAATACACAATATGACAGCGAAGCCAATGCTATTATATGGATCAGAAACCTAGGACCTCAAACCAATATTAGAAGCAGCTCAAATGAGGTTTCTAAGACACCTCCATGGCTACACTGGATAAACGGAGAAATAAAGACAAGGAAAAGATTGAAGGCAACTAGCATAACAGAAGATATTAAAAAGAACCAGAAAAAATAGCTGGAACACATTAAAAGAAAGATTTTAATATGTCCAGCCCACAAACTCTTTCTGTGAGAGGGTGACTCTGCCAATTCCTGTTCAGTAATGTTCATTCCTAACATGTCAAATTATTCTCAGACGCTTCATTTCAAAACTTCTCACCAAAGATGTCTTGATCTTCTCAGTGACTATTTTTCTGCCAGTCCAATGTTATCAATATAGACTGCCATTATTGTTTTTCACCCATCTATGTTGATTCCAAACACACACGAATCAACTTTATTGTGAGCAAAGCGAATTTCCTCTAATTTAATATTGTGAAAATCATGAGTAGTTTCAGATCATATATTGATTACTGCCCTTCATCAACTTTTTGTCTAAATTCCTCCTATGTCTCAGTTATTTCATTTTCTCTAGACAAGAGTTCCTTTTTTTATTGAAAATTCTTCTTTAAACATGGGTTTTTAAAATAATATTTGGATTCTTCCAGTATTGTGAATTATTGTTACAAAAATTAGCATAAAAAAATTTGTTTGAAAATGAATGGTAACTGTGGAATAATGGTCCTCATATCTTTTGTAATAGTACACTGCACACAATAAAAAATGTTGTGGGGCAGTGATAGATTCAGTCATATAATACTTAGAATTAATCAATAATGTTATCTAAAAGTTTATTCAATCAAGTTCAAAGACATATTGAAATACATCTTTACAGTATATTTTTACTTCATTACTAGTTTTGCCTGGTTTAAAATTTGTTTTTAATCAGTTGTGTTTTCAGTGTTTAACAAGAATTTTTATCTCCATATGTTTTACTTACCCTAAAAATACAGTTTATATACTTTTATCTGAATTATAATATTTTACATAAACTTCGCTTTAATTTGGATGCCTTTAATTTGTCAATGTCAAACATCCCAATGAATATTCTTCATATTATTATGTTAATTGTGAATAAGCAAAAATGAATGAAGAAGCCTATCATAAAGATGAAACCATTCTCCATTCCTACTCCCACCACTCCTACTGCTTTGTCATTGGTACTACTGCATAAATACCTGCATTTTCTATGTGAAAATGATTCCATCATTAATTTCTCCAAACAGAGGCTCCTGCTCCAAGTGCCAGTGATATTGTTTTGGTGGCTGCAGTACTGCAACATCGGGAAAAGAGAGTTTCTGATTACTGTGTGCTTGAACCTACACGTGAGGAGTATGTAACACGACACTTCCAAGATGGACGTATTGCATATAGTGATCACAGGTAAGTCCATTGCTATTTTCACTTTTATATCTTGACTACTCTATATCAGTAATCACTATTACTATTCATCGCTTACCTTTCATGCAGAGATGTTTTTGTTTTCGAAGAAATACTGCATTGCTAAATCATGAACCATTAAATTAATGATACATAAGTTACTTGGTAGAATGTGAAGTGAGTAATGTCTATTCACATTCTGATTAATATGGCCATTTTCCAATGTAGGATATTGGTCAATTATGGTTTTGATCTAAATGTGTTGTATGACATAAAATAGGGAAGTTATTACACACAATTGAGTGGACAATGAAAAATTGTTTCTTAAATTTAATCAATATGTATTATAGGTTACAGCTTATTAAGATGGACAATATACATACAATCCAGAATTTGAAATATTCCCAAACAGAGTTAAATATTGATGTAAAAACAATGACTTCAGCTGATCCATTATGAATTTTTAATTATTTTACAAATAAATGATATATACATACAACTTCAAAACACACTGCCAGACAGCATTAAACAACTAAATTTGATACACAAGTTTAAACCCTAAGTAAAATATTTTCTGCTGGGTAACTGTTTCTACACTATTAGAGACTACACTAACCATCAAAAAGAAAAACAGTATTTATTTGAACAATGATATTCAATGAAATTGAATGAAATCAACATTTGTTCTATATAATTTTAAAAGATGAAATGTGCCTGTTACTAGTTGTGTTCTTCAGCCTCTGATTTAATGACCCCCATCTTGATCAGATTTTTTGTCCAGTTTCTCTGAACCATTGAACAAATGCTGAGATGGTCCCTTTCTTTGCTTGTAGATATAAATAAATCTTCACTACTTAGACATTTTGTTGAGCTATGGTTTCGCGAGTTGTGGTAGGAGTATAGCCTGGGGTGTGGGTTACTACTTTGTTTGTACTATAAAATCAAAAAATTTGTTTACCGATGCAAATATGTTTTTTATAATTCAAGAGCAAACATTTCTAGTTTCCAAATGTTGCTTACCTCGTTTTCTTAGTACGTTCATCGTCATTCTATGTATGATTAAAAAATGGGGAAGAGATTCTGGAGCTCAAAAGAAATGTACTTAGATTATACTTCTCCTCCACACATTACATTCAATTTTTACTGTGTTTTGGAGAAAATAAATCAAATCGAATCTGAATGTATGTTTATTTGATGTAGGATTGCAATGGTTGCTGGTTACATGGCTGAAGAAGTATCAGGATTATCAGCTTTCAATTTCATGCACAAGGAAGATGTTAATTTCACAATTGTGGCTCTTCAGCAAAGTAAGCTATTGTTTGAAAAAAAATATTTTTATCATTTTTCATTTTTATTATATTGTTATGCTGCAATTACTTGAGAATATATTTATTTCCAAATTATATCTATGTAATTTAGTATAAAAATGTATTTGTTTTCTGTATTGCAGTGTATGATTTGAGTCAAGGAGCTGGAGGAAGTGCTTACAGATTGCTGGCAAAGACTGGTCGATACATCTACCTGCGAACTCAAGGTTATCTAGAGTTTAAAAAGACTGCCAATGAAGAGACAACCTTAATCTGCATCAACACGCTTTTAACGTAAGTTAAGCCTTTACTTTCTGAGATTGCTTGTCATATTCATGTTTTATTTTTGTATAATTTATTTGTATAACCTGACCAAGCAGAGTGTAGGACTGGTGATGAGGGAAGCACTGTGCTTTGTTTTGCTTTGAAGAGAAAGAGACAGAGCTATTGGTATACTTAGTAAAACTGAAAACTGAAGCACTGATCTAGACCAAGGTCCGAAGATGTATACATGGCCTATTTATAATGCCATCTTCGATTCAACAATACCTGTGACATCCATTTCAAACCACAGGGAAATGCCAACATGTTGAATAATTATATTATTAAATATTGATAACGATATGAGGAATGAAAGTATTTTGAGTTCCTAAAAGAAACCATATATTCCTTTTATGCCTTGCAAAAAATTCTACAACATCAGTACATTACATTACTCAATCTAATGAAAAACATTCAGGAAGGGTTTTCTTTAACTTCGAGATTCCCATAAAATACAATGTAATGGAGAAGTTTCAAATTGTTAATGAATTATCAAATTATTAAGTGCTTCGTGTGTGATTATAGTAATGTTTCTGTGGAAAACTACCTGAAGAAAAACTAATAACGCTGATTAATTAGCATTATGTACTATGTTGTGCAAAAATGCTTTATTACTTTGGAACAGGTACATGGATGCACCAGACTGTACTGCCCTGATGCTAATGCACTATGCAACTGTTGCTGTTGTTAGTTATCAGATGCACCAATCACTCTTCAGTCCTACATTTTTCTTGCTCAAGTTATAACTTACTTAAGATTGTGTTGTTTATAGTCTTCAATTTACAAACATTTATATGATATTAGTAATATTACATTCTAGATTACATTTCTTACAGTGAACAAAATACTACTCTTATACCATAAATAATAGTATATTCGATTTTTAAAACGAAGTGCTAAAATTACATTATCCGGAATTTTTTTATTTAGCAGTGAAATTTGTTAGAATGAATATTATATAAGGCTGTGTGCTTCAGTTCTTTTTTCTCCCCTCTAACAAACTTAATGAATGTGATTCATATAATGTAAAGAGGAATATATTTTGATATCTACGACACCCTTAGAGTACATTCTTATAATGTTGTTAACAAAATGTACTTTAATAACAATCAAAATTTTTCTTACACAACTTTTACAACTTATTTATCCTGTTTATTTCACGAAACAGGAAACCTAACTGTGAAAATGATGATGTATTCTCAATTGATTAAGGAGGAAGGAAGGAAGAGGGGAAAAAAAAATAAAATTGATTTGTACGATTTTAGGATCTAGCAGTAATTGTGATTAATGATACATTTTCGTATACATTTACTGCATTTTTAATTTTATGTCTTCACTTCTTGAACAATAAACTGGAGCTGGGTGATAATGGGATAAGATGACAGTGGAATGATAATGGAGCAGGATAGATGGTAGTAAATAGAGTGAAATGGGGGTTTGATGAAGTAAGATGTGCAAGTGTAGTTGAGTATCTACAAAGAAACTTTCTATTCATAATGTACCAGGGTAAAATAGTATTTATTTTCAAATTTTACTTCAACACTTGCAAATCATATATATTTCTGTGTATGAATAAATATAAAAGATTTAAATGTCTTTAGTATCCGTGTTGAAAGCTAAAAATAGTTGAAACATTGGCTTGTATATAATTGTGTTTTTTAATGGCTCTAAATCCAAGAATCTAGCTCCCATTAAATTAAATAATATATATTGATGTGTTGGGTTTATTTTCGTACTTCAGGTATGTTCTAGGCATGGACTGAACATCAAGTACATATAAGTAGATTTCAATATTTTGACCCAGAATCTCTGTCAGTTTGGCAGTAGTAGAAGATCAGTTCAGAATGAGATGGACTGATCAAATACATAGATTTAGATGGAAGCAGTTATGAAGGTCTAACTCATTTCAGGAATAACGACAAATGATGTTAATGCCATGATGATTATTGTGGCATATTTGGAAATGTCAGAGCAAGTAGTGTACATTTTTCTTGACTGAGTTTTGAGCAAAATAAGCAATACTTACTTCCATCTTGCTCAAATTTGAGGACATGTTTTAATATCAATTAATCTATACTTGTATCTTTCCTCAGAGCTGCAAAATAGCAATTTTAGTTTATAATTATTTTCTCAATTATAGTTCTTGTAGATGCAAGTTATTGAAGGAAATTTAATTTTTTCCATTCATTTTGTAATGAGAATATTTTATTTTTCTAGGGAAGAAGAGGGTGAGCGTCTCATTCAGGAAATGAAACAACGCTATGCAGCTTCTATAACAAAGTGTTTCCAGATTACTCAAACTGGAGGTCCTCTTGCAAAGGCTGTAACACCAGAGTATATTCCTCAACTTCCAGCAGTGGTATGACATTTTGAACTTTTGAAGTTTGGGATTGCTTTTGAAATGTCCTCAGTGGCATAGTTAAAGGGTATATGTTAACCACCCTAACGGTGTCCCCAAAATTTTGATCAAATTATGTCGGCAAAACATTGCATTAATTAAACTTTAAACATTCATTGGAAAATGGAATAAAGATAACAAATAAAATTGAAATTAACATGGAAGTCATATTAACTGCAATCAAACTTATCAATTTGTGTTTTAACCCTTTGTGGTCAGAGTCAGGACTACGACTCTCTAACAGTATCCTGGATTGTAAATAGATTGTAATACATGTAATGTTTTGTCGATAAATATATAATGGATTGAAAATGAATTATGTATAGAATGTAACCAATGCAAATGCCATATGACAAAACAACGTGTCTCGTCACTCTTATTGTCATTCTGTTGCCAAGTGCTTGTTGCTGCTCTTGTTGTTTTGAAATTTTGAATAATTTTTGTAGTGGAGGAAAAATAATTTATAAAGAGGAGATGTTATGATTATGAAAACATCAAAAATACCAGCCTTTGCTTGGAAAGATATGATTAGTTAGCTTACTAATTACTTTCTATGACAATAAAATGAAGAATATAATATGGAAACGAAAGTGTGATGTAATATGGAAAGATATTGAAACTCGTAAACCTTTTTTATATATATCTTTTTTTATATGTAATGTGTATTTTGTGTGTGTGTGTGTGTGTGTGTGTGTGTGTGTGTGTGTGTGTGTGTGTGTGTGTGTGGTGTGTGTTTTACGTGGGCAGGGGAAAATCTTCTAAAGACACCCGCGGGGCCCGCAACCCGCCCAGCGTGTGGGATTCATAGCTAGCCCACGGGCGTAATTGACTGAATGCCCATGGCATCAGCCCCAAATAGGGGCTGCGTGAGAAGAATGGAATTTACTACGCTAGTCAGCAGCCTTCGCTGCTTTGCCCCGGACCCCCTACATTAGGCATAATGCGTGCCAAAGCGGATGCCATCAAGACGCTTTCTTCGAGAACATTGTCGCAGGTGCTCGTCAATAAGCGCAGTCTCGCGTCAATATGGACTCCCAAATACCTCAGTGACAGCTGCGAGGATATTTTGCAGCCTCCTTACAATTAAGAGTAATACTCTCTCTCACTTTTCTGCCCGTCCACCAGACAGCCTCTGGTTTTATGGGCGGCCACTGTAGCCCTACTGACGTAACACCGCCGGATCTCCGCCACAGCCTCGTTGGCAACCTGGCGTGACTTGTTCGAGTATTTGCCGACATAACGAGAATTGCAACATCGTCAGCGAATCCCAATTCGTTCTTGCGCCCTTCCGGCAACTCGAGCTTCAACACGGCGTCATACATAATGTTCCACAACATCGGAACCTAAGTACCCGAGCCTTGTGGGACACCGCCTGTGTACCGTAATAAGATTGTAACTCCAACACAGTTTCATATACGAGGACTCATCTCCTTAAAGTAACTTTTTACGCCAAATTCGAGATGTACCTTGGAACTCCGAGAGTTTGTTAAGCGCAGAAAGAATGAAGCTCCACCTTGCAGTGTTAAAGGCGTGTTTTTCAACGTCTGGGGTCACTATAGACAATACTTCATAGGACGCGCCTTTCCATCGTTTGCCTTCAATTGGCCTTGCCGTGCGATGTCGATGCACTACCTTAAATAGCATCTCGTGGATCTCGCTTTTCTAAAGCGTACTGATTATTCAGACAATCCTTGAGGCCCCTCTGTAATGACTCAATACGATTGCAGATAATCCGCTCCAACACTTTGGCCTGCTGTGTCAGTAAGCATATTGGCCGATAGGCCTGCGGATCAGTAGTTGCCTATCGCGCTTCGGAAGAAGGACTAACTGTGCTGCTTCCATCGACGGGGGAAATTCCCCTCTCGTTATCATGCATTTATGCCTGCAAGAATAGATCGGGCCGAGTCTCATAAGCGTCTAATTGCTACATTTGGGACCCCTATCTTAATCCGGGGGCTTTGCAATCTTGGACCTTGCCGCAAGCTCTGGAAAGATCATCCAACGTGACTGCCGAATGTCGCTTAGTCTTCGCAGACGATCCTTTCGGTTGTACATATCTACCTGCGAGGAAAACAAGGTACTACAACTTTTCCCATGAAACCGGGCAAGTGGGTGGTCGCCTGAAAATATCCTCTCTGAGTCTGGCTCGTTACCAGCTTATACGGGCGTCCCTAGGGGTCACATCCACCTCCTCCCTAGCTCTCTCCCGCAAAAACCGGAAACAACGTTACTAATTTTTAAAAAAATGGCTTTTGTGAAAGCTCTCTGGCGTCCAGAATGTTGCTTTCTTGAGAAATTCATAGTTTGGGCGGCTCCAGGCGCGCTGTGCCAATATCGTGTTCCGGTGGCATTCCCTTGCGAAGTTCCGCGATCTCGTCCAGTCCACACAGTACACTGGAGGACGGCGTTCTCTCTTGGCACTTTTTGTCATTGACGCCATCCACAAGCGAACTACCCGGTTCATTACTGGTTTCCTACAATATTTCAGAGTCACGGGGCCAACAATCTCAGGGTTGCCTCCATGCATGGCAAATGAAGGAATCACGATCGATACGTCCTGTGATTCCAAAACAGCTTTCCTTCTACCGCTTGGTGAGCTCAAATGCACTGCTCTTTTACTTCATACACAATGCTTGGTGGTCACTATGTTGTATAATGTGCACTAACCTCCCATGATACAATACGTCTAGCAATGGCTTTTTACAGACGAAAGTTAGATCAATCGACCGAGCTGCGACCATCTCATTAGAAAGTAGGACCTGGGCCCCGTGTTGCAGAGGCAGAACCCAAACTGTCAAGGCTGGTCCAGGGAGAGCCACCTCGCGTCCGGTTCGTTACTTGCTGCCCACTGCGTGGCCCAAGCATTGAGTCCCAGCAATAATAAGAGGCCTTTCGTTCTCTCGCGTCACGATTAAGCGATCGAGTAATTCTCGAACTCCCTCAAGCGATGCACTGGGTGCAGCATAAACACTATAAAAAATATACACCGAACCCTTGATCGAAGTGAATTCCCATCCTTGGGAGCTTGCATAACATCCTGGATGGACTACTACCACACTATCCATACTGCAGCTCGGTTAGTCCGCATGCCGAAACCCAGGACTGAAGACCGAACAATAATTTCTGTTACTGCTCGCAGAGTATTGCAACATCTAATTCCATCTCGCGCACACGTCTGGGTCGAGAAAGGTCCTGGGCGCCTCGCCAATGAATTTTAAATTTAGCTGGAGTAAGCTCTCATTTTCTGTATTCCGTTGCCTTCATTGCTACTTTGGTACGGCCCGGACACGTTAAAACTCCCCTGTCGGGTGGTTCCCTCCTATCTTTGCAGAGCACACACCTCGCCTGCAGCGTTTTTGCAAGCCTGACCGTAAAGTGGCCGTCTCCTTCCGCATCGGTGACAGGATTTTGACCTGTCCGTGCCCTTGGCAGTCGGCGCGCCAGATGTCCGGAACGCCACAACGATAACACTTCCGCAAATTACTTTCTCTCTAACGCGGCAGTTTACCCACCCAATGCGACACGGCCGCTCCTCAATGCCCCTCCTGGCGTTCCCGTCGGTAGACGGACCACTGCAAAGTTTGTGTGCCTCTGTAAGCCGTCCGTACAGATATGACAAGCTTTGCTAGCTCAACAGGTGATTTCAGTTCCCGCTTACAGGCTTTCACAGACTTCAGGCCGCCGTTAGTCAGCTCGTCCAAGGTCGCGAAATCTCGGAGCGTTTCGTTCCTCTCCGCGTCCGTTACTCTTGCTAACTTCGCCCAGGTTTTTGGATATCGCTTCAGATATCTCGAGCTGCTGCAGATTCCGCAACTCAGCAGCAAGGTAATCCTGCGCATTCTCCTCACCTTTGGACGTTCTCACTCAGCATTTTCAGAGATGGGTCGCACGCTTGATCTGCCTTAGAATATCAGCATAGGAAGGGCCCTCGCCGTCATTTGCCTTAACAATAACGAGTTCGGGGCGATAAGAGTGTGCGGCTTCGGCGGCCTACGTCTCTTCCTCCTACGACATGCAATCCTCTCATGATTTTGGTGTGGTGTCTCCATCAGAGGTTGTGGCAGTGCCTAGGAACTTCAGCATGTTGAATGTTCCTATCCCTGCACCGACTCTGAAAGCTTCTTCTCTGCCACTTCGTAGATTCAGCGGTTTCTCTCTTTCTCTCGACGACGTTCGGTCCACCGCCTACTGTGGACCGCAACTCCGTCCGCCGCTGTCAAGGGCCACCACTAATCATCAGGCATTCGGCCAATACAGAAGTCTTGGTGAAACCTGCGTTCTCCGCCTCCACCGTCCATCAGGCAAATCACAACCATTAACTGCGGTTCGCACCTCCGCCGCCGAGGAACCTACCACGATCATCAGAATTCCGGCTAACACCCGCACGTCAGCCGGGCAGAGTCGGTCACGGCCTCACAGTCCTTCGCGCCAATTCATTGTTCCCCGTAGGCCTGCACTCTCGGCGAGGGCCTTCATAACGCATCAGTATTCAGATCGACACCCCAATGTCTGGAGGGTGCAGTCTGCGGTCTCCGCTCTCAACTGTCTTCTTCAAGCTAATTTACAGATAGTGACTCCTCCATGTCCACCAATTCATCAAATCAGATCGGAATGGAACTGACCATAACGCTTTATCTCACACGTGGACATTATTCCTTGGCAGGACAAAATGCAGGAAGATCCCGATCTTCTTCCCCAACTCCAGAAACTTCACTCTCCTATTCTCTTCCCAGACACTTGTGAGCTTGGCTCCCCCAAAATCCATGGAGCCGCACGCGACTATCGGGCTTTCACACCCGATCAGAATCGGTGGCGAGATTCGGCGTCAACGCTCGACTCGCTTGGGGTAGTAAGTTTTTGAGGCTCACTCATACATTCACTGGTTTTATTTTCGGGGGTGACCTTCCCTTACGTTTTATAATGCTACCGCTCAGCAGAGATGGAATTGGAAGGAAGGTGAGAAAGGGGATTTTCGAAGGGATAGGGAGCAAGAATCCCATAAGCTACTCAGTCCACCTATTGGATCTTGTGGGATGGGAGGAAAACTAGGTGGGAAAGTAAGGATATTAGGGGGAAAAAGACAGCGGAACAGCTGCTCTTTTAGTCGCCTTGTACGACAGGCGGAGGTCCAGTGGCGTATTCTACAAAAACCCCGGGCAACCCACAGGGTGTGTGTGTGTGTGTGTGCGATGCGTGTGCGTGCGTGTGCGTGCGTGCGTGTGCGGCGTGCGGGTGTGCGTGCGCGTGCGTGCGCGTGCGTCGTGCGCGTGCGTGCGCGTGCGTGCGCGTGCGTGGCGTGCGCGCGCGGTGCGTGGCGTGCGTGCGTGGGCCGTGCGCGTGCGGTGCGTGCGCGATGCCGTGCGGTGCGTGGCGTGCGTGCTGTGGCGTGCGTGTGGTCGTGTGCGTGCGTGTGCGCGCGTGTGCGCGCGTGGTGCGCGCGTGTGCGCGCGTGTGTGCGCGTGTGTGCGCGTGTGCGCGGTGTGCGTGCGCGCGCGTGCGCGCGTGTGGCGCGCGTGTGTGCGTGGCGTGCGCGTGCGCGCGTGCGCGCGTGCGCGCGTGCGCGCGTGTGCGCGTGTGCGCGTGTGTGTGTGGGGGCGCGCGCGCGCGCGCGCCACTGAGCTTAGCTTCAGTGCTTTTCCATGGCACAACACTGAGTCACTCACAGGATCTGAGAGAATCCTGCATTCATTGATCTTTTGCTGTCTTAATTCTTTGTAAATTAAATTGAGAACTTCTTTAAATTTGCAGTGATTTTTTTTCCTAATATTAAAATTATATTTCCATATTCACTACTTTAAAAATTGTTTTGCCTTTAGTTTTCATATATTTTCGGCAGATAGCCTCCAGTTCTATTATAGTTTGAGAAGAAAATGCTAGAGTGTACATTTGTAATAATGCACCTTATTTTATAGAATTAAATATTATATTGTCTTATTTTTTGGTTTAAAATAATATGTTATTGTAATGATAAATTTAGTTCTGCCATTGTATAAGGTTTCCAAACTGTTTCTCATTTAGAATCCAGTTTTCACTTTAAGTGACATGCTTTTTGTTCTCAATGTGCAGATGCCAGCCTCTGAGCCTCCTCTGCCCAGCCCATCTCAGATGGAAGAACATCGCTTTGTGCAGCCCAGCCCAGCATCAGACTCTGCCCTCAGCCCAAATCAAGGGGCTAGTCCTGGCTCTGTGCAATTTGCCAACATGGCTATTTACTCACCTCCCCCTCCACCTGTACAACCCCAGCCCTCTCCACCTGCTGCTCGTTACCCTGGAGTCATTACTGGTCCCAGCAGTACTCCTACCTCAATGGATCGCCCCACTGTCCTTCGAACTCAGAGTGTCATAACTGAACGAGTTTCTGTTTTGACAACTGCTGGGAATCCAACTGAAACACCCATGGACACTGGAAGCGGAGTAGGTTCAACAGAAAGAAGCCATTGGGGTTTTAAGGAAGTATCCGTTCTGAAGAGAACATTCAGTTTGGATGCTGATGCTTCTAGTTCAAAACGGTTACACACTGGAGCTCCACGACCTGGCAGGCAACGCCGACGGGACTCTCAGCCTGCTACCCTATCAGAAGAAACCATGCCTTTAAAAGTGGAGGTGCCTCATGGTGCACCCGTGTTGTCCCCTGAAGAGCAACACCAAGCTCTCATGGCCCGGGGGGTCCCTGGCCATGTTCCCCAGTATAGGGGGACATGGCCTCAAGTCCCCAGCCAAATGGCTCCTTCTCATACCCCGCTACCTGATCCTTCCTCCTCGTGTTTGCAAATGGCCCTCCCTCCAGCAGCTGCCGTTTTGAGTCCAGCTGCTCCCTTTGAGCCTGACCCAGCAAGTCCTGCTAGTTTGGGAGACTTGAAGACTGATGACCTGCTGGGTCTAGATGGTGTGGACTGCATGAAACCTGAATTTATACCTCTGGAAGCATTACAAGGTACTTGAACTAATAAAAAAAAAAATAGAAGAAACACATTTTATTTTCTTACGGGTCACATATGTGAAATGAAACTTAATTGATCAGTGGTGTACAAATAGTTATAATGATAATGGAGCAAGTTGTATCAAGGCCATTTACTTGAAAGCTATGTTAGGGCATTGATATGAACTACCATCAACTTTTTCATATCGTACTTATAAATAATTCAAATCCATGAGATTTTCTTGTACATTGTTTCAAAGATGTTATTGGAGTGAAAAATAAACACTTTGTAAAAAAAGTTATCTATGGCATTAAAACATCAAAAATATGCATCTGGTAAATGGAATCCCCTTCAATGAATGTGCTTCCCTTACCGTAATGCATGTGCATTTTGCAATTGGTTCCTAAAGTAGACCTCTCATTTCTGAGTTTCTCCTCTGCTCAGCCTGTCTGGACGCTCCTTCAGCAGTGGAGTCTGAGTGTGCTGCCTGGCTGGGTTTTGCAGACTGTCTGACAGAGGGGCCAGGGCATGACTTAAGCCTTTCAGCTCCTGGTGTTGACCCTGCTGCTGTTCAGGCTTATAGTTGTGTGGACCGAGAATTGGAACGACAACATCAACAGCTTCAGTCAAGAATGGCTATGCAGGAGACACAAATGAGCCGATTGGAGCAAGACCTGGAGACTGTGCCTGGGTCAGATGAACCCTTACGGTCCACTCTCTCCCAGCTCCAGGTGAGGACTTCTGGAATGCTTGTCATCTAATTTGGTGATGACCTCTAGCATGAATTGCTCTAAAGTACAGGGTCAGCAAATGTAGAAGAATTAATATTCTTTTAGTCTTTTCTATTATAATTTAAGTTTTTTGTACTATAGTTTAAATATTTTTGTTCTAAATTTGGAGATTTCTTTTGTAATCCTTAAGAAATAAGTGATTCAATAAAGGCTGTCTTACTTGATCAAATGAACTGTCTTTTCTTATTCTCACAGTTTTGCTATTAGATTTTCTAAACTAGGATAAAATTGTCTTATTTGTGGTTGCATTTGTTTTGTGAATGGGAACGCTTTTCTACTGTATTTTGTAGAACATTTTTACTTCCACTTTTTGTAGATTAACAAAGGAAATAAATAACTATTTTGTGTTTTTTCCATGTAGTGTTTTTGAATTTAACAAATTGTTGTACACAAACTTGTCATTGAAACGCATTCTAATATTGTAATTGCACCTTAGCATTGTGCACAAGTTTTGACTTGTTTTCCATATCTCCCTCATTTTTATTGTAAATACTTTCCTTTTTGTCTTGTGTGCTGTTGGGTTCTATCTGCTTTTCTTTGCTTTTATCCTGTTGAATAAATATTGAGTGGTGATTTCAGTTGTTACTTTTTTTGATAATATAGGCTCAACATAAAAAACAGCGGCAGATGCTTCACACACTGAAACAGGATCACCACTGTTTGCAGAGACAAGACAAACTGGCACCTGGACCATGTGTCAAACAGAACTTGGGTGTGTGACAACATTACCAAAAGAACTAGTTTGCCCATAGCCTAATGTACAACATTTTTTTTATTTTGTGTAATATCTTTTAATATATGTAATGTACTAATGTGGCATGAAGAGTGAGAGAGCGCAAAGAGAACTGACAAATCATTATGTAATGAAACAATACAAACGTTTGTTGTCTGCTTCATTAAGATTTAAAATGAATATGTAACGTTATTTGTATATGCAAGTCTGTAAATTATGTAGGAATTTTTATGCAGGAAGGAGGTAATTTCCTGGTTGTACTGAGCTTTGACTGATTTTATTATAGGAACACTTTATTTTCAATACTGCCATGAAGGGAACAGGTATTTGCATTGTGCATATTAAATGTCGGAAGTTTGAATGTCCATATTGATTCGGATATTGAACTTCTGTAAATGTATTGAGTACAGAAAGCAATGTCAAACTTTTGGCTTCATATTGCAAAATACAGTGTTTTTTTCGTCTGAATGCAATTATGCATATTTGTCTGTTGGTTCATTGTAATTCAATGTAATAACTAATGATCAGTAGTTTGCAAAAGCCATTTGCCATCATGCGTCGTAACAAGGTTGTCTGTGTAAGGTTCTTGAAAGTTGAGTGTGTTTGTTGGGCATGACTGGCTGGCCTACCAGCAAATAATGTACACATTTTTAAATTTAAAACTGAGAGCAAAGTACTGTAGAATTGAGTATTTAATACTGATATTTGTAACGGCAAAGAGCAAATGCTCGGCATTGGATAAATGAGTATTTTTAAGCAGAGTTTCGGTCATAACTTTGTGTGCCATCATGTTAAAAAATTGCATTTCAACCTCCACCATTTCTTATTGTATTGTAATTATTATATGACTAGATATCAGTTCATTGCATTTTATAATAAATGAACAAGTTTGTAAATTTTTAAATTATACTTAGTAGAAGAGATCCATTTATTGTGCATAATTTGGCTTGTCAGTAGGTTGGTTAAGTGCCCATCACATGTTTTTGAGCAAAATAGTGCATCAGCAAGATGTGAATAGAAGCCAAGACTATTGGAATGTAATTTAGTGTAAAAAAAGTTTGTTGAAATATGTCCACCTTTGTAATATTATGTTTCTTTCATATTGTACTTCAATTGTGCAATGGATGCATTCATGCAGGTGACATGAAGATCAACTGTTGTGCCTTCTTTATTTAAATGACATTGTGGATTCCTTTCATTCAAAATGAAACAAAAAATGTTCCTTTGGAGAGCTATGATTTTGATATTCAAATTATTATTACCACTCTGATCAACACTTGATACAGTTTTGGTCCCAGCAGTGTTAGACCTTTGTGCAAAGGCAATCTTATTGGGCCAACATCAAGTAATCAATTGGAATTGTTATACCTCACATTTTCATGTCATCTTCATTTTTTTTACTGTTTTGTACTTTTTTATAAAATCTCACCAAAGCACTTACAAAGTCAGTAGAGGTGTGACGGTGAGGTAGAACATTTGTCATCTAAAAGTCAAATTGATAGTAATAGATTGCACAAGACTTGTACCAATGACTTTGAATGTGGTTGTAAGTGTAACTGTCTCAGCAAATGTACAAATTATAATTTGATGGGACCCAGCAATGGAAGATGATTATTGAAATTGCATTACACCTAATTGTGCAGTAAGCATGTACAAAACAAATTTGAAATTTTTAATGTCCGTGTATGGGGGAAATGGTCACAACTCTCCTGCAACTTTTTGTTTAATTGCCATATGAAATTATTGAATCTGAGGAGTTAAATTTGAATACTTAATTTGATGTTTGTTTATTGGTCAGTATCATTCTCTTCCAATGTTGGAGCAAAGGCATATTATTGTTTCATTCATTCTCTTTGCCTTATCATGTTGTTACTTTGCACCCAGTACAATGCACTTCTTTCAATCCAAAGGGAGACATTTATTTAATACAGTGTATTGTAGGATATGCTATATTATGTATAGTTTGTTATGTGGTATAGAGCCTTCTGTTTTGTACTCATTGTGTATTGGAAATATTTCCAAGAGCGTGTATTAAAAAACTGCTCAACTGTGACCCTGACTGAAGCACAAGACTGAAGAGATGACTAGTTGACCCCAGTATCAGGATGTGGAACTCTTGCACAAGTGCTTGTGCTCGCAAGTGCTACAAGAGTCCTGTAGCCTGATTAGGCTGTATTCTGTGCCATCAGGAAACCAATCTGCTGCTGGGGATTCAAGCATCTTCAAGACTGTATTGTAAATATTAGTTTCTTTTGCAAGTCTGAAATATTGATACATGTTTTTGTAAAGAAAGATCCACCTTTGTAATGAGTAACATTGTGGATTATATGCAATCTTGTACACTCTTCATTATACATGTATATAATATAACTAAATGCTGTTTTCTTGGTCTTCAAGTTAAACTCTGTATAAACTTTTCCACACATTCTAAGAAAGTGTGTTGTTTGCATGAGTAAGCAAAATGTCACAATATTTGAGAAATCATTTGTGTTCATTTATTGACTCTAAAGAAATGACAAAAAATAAAAAATTTCAATTCAGAATCACGTGTGCCAAATACAGGAAATTATGTGGATTCCATCGCTTTATGAGAGAGAAACAAAGGAAACTCTTTTTGAGAAAATACAATTTGAGAAGTGGATGTTAAAGTACAAGTGATGTCAGTTAACTGATTATTGCACCAGGACTTGACGACCTGATACTAGTATACATGCAACAAAACTCAAATAACTCATAAAATTTTACACAGCATTATTTCATGGAGTTCTTACATAGGCTGATTTTTATTTACAAATTAGAAAAGATTGTTATGTAATAACACCAGTGAGTGGGCAAGCAATTTCATGTAACAGCTTTCTAATTTGTGCAAATGGAAAGTTGTGATGTGCCATGAAGTGTGTTGAGAGCAACTTCTTATAGAACATCTATTGCACTTAGCTCTGGTGGCTGAATCGAACAGAACATTTCTTTTAAAAAAATTATTCTGCCTAAGTTTGAACATTCTCAATATATATATATATATATATATATATATATATATATATATATATATATAATTTCATATTAATAACTATTTTTTGAGTAAAATTGCAACAACAAAAAAATCGTAATACACAATTTTACAAAGTCCTTCGATTTTGTTGTTTTTGAGAATTTTTCATTGTCAAATGGCAGTATCAGAAGGGGAAGACAATCTATTTTTTTTATTTTTTTTTTAAGTTTCAATTCAAAAAGTCACAAAAGAGTCAATATAATCAAGCAGCAGTTTTGAGGAAGATAAGAAAGGTTACAATATGGTATAATGTCAGTGTTCAATATGAGGGAAAACAAGAGGCTGGATGCAATTGAAGAGCTTGTTCCTCACATGACCTTCAATCCTCAATACATCTCAAATCAAGAAGTTATGTTTTACTAAGATTATAGAAGTATGAAAATTGCAAAAATTTAACTTTTGGCTGATATTAACTGCTGAATGGTTTCTTCAAATAATTTGAAGTTCTTGGTCAAAATAATTTCAAAATTTCAATGGATTCATAACACCAATAGAGAACTGTAAAAACCATGGGTCTTGAGTCATTTTGTACAAGGCATCAATTTCATGGTGGTGCTGCTGCAAAGTCACTTACCCCTACAATTAACTATAATGACACTAAAAGCCTAAAATTTTTGACTATGAAAATTTTAGCATGTGTAAATTCATTTAAGAGATTAGAAACATTTCTTTAGTGATTTTAGACTATTTCTAAAGAAGATACAACCTTCTTTCATAGGAATGCTGTCTGGTACCTCATAAACATTGCCAAGTAGGAAAAAAGAAATAAACGAAACACAATATACACCTTCTAAGCCATTTGACTGGTTTAGTACGATTATATTCTTTGCAATTATATTTTACAAAAATACAAAAATGAATGCGAAATCCTTTCTTAATACTAAAAAGGATCATTTATTGTTTATTACTAAACAAAATCCAATTTTTGTGGCAAAAAAATACAGCCAAGTCAGGAATATCAAGCATTGACATTTCCAACAATATTCAATAATACTGACGAAGAGAAACTGACATTAAATTAATGACCACAGTTTTTTTCTCTAACCCTCCTGCATATTCCTCTCTTCACAAATCTAAGGGTTCCTAATGATGAAGAATAAGCAAAAAAAATTAACAAATATATTTTTATATTAATAATTAAAATACATTTATTCACAAAGATAAAAATTTTCATACATGATACATTTTCACTGCAAAATCAGCTATTTGTCTGTTTCCTTCTTTTACGATACACAAGTGAATATTCATATGAGGCAATGTTTGCCTCATATTGAAGATATACACTTTTGTGTTTCATTAAAACAATTACATCCCTTACTGCAAAATTAAAATTATAATCTCATCGATCAGATTTGATTGTGAACGAATTAATACAATTTTAATGCCTTACTAGTCAATGTCATTTGTCAAAAAAAAAAAAAAAGTGGGGAAGAAATCAAGAAATAAAGGAAGTACATATTGAAAAAAAATATACTTTTCAGGCCAAATAATTAAAAATATAATTATGCAGAGAAAATCACATTTGGATTTTTAAAATAAATATATTACACCTCCATTACCTCGTGATTTTCAGAATAATCCAAATTATAATCACAATAAGGGAATTATGTAAATTTGTAAGACTGTTTACAACAGCATTTTGCAACAATTGGCAAAAACACCAATTCTCCGGTTGATAATTCTGAATTTAATATTTTAAAGTAGACTGATACTATATACCAAAACAAATACAGGGATGTTGTACACCTTTCTAATGAATAACATTGAACTTTTATGTTACTATAAGTAATATTACTTTATCATACAAATCGAAAGGAACTTACTTCCAGGTTGCATTGGTACAATACAAACTAACTAATTTTTGTTCATTGTACCATTTAACTTTAAAGCAACCAATCATTGTCGTTTAAAAAGCAAACAGAATACATTAACATTATATTCCAATTTTTTATGGATTATTGTCAATTTTGATAATTTGAGGACATAATTCTTTGAAGATTCACAAGCATAATGTTGGCATAAAAAAAAAAATTTCAGCAAATATATTTGCCACTGGTGCATCAGAATTTCAACTTTTAATATGTGCACACAGTAACTCTAAAGAGTCCTATTAATTCCTAGTCAATGGAAAGTAATAAATATTTTGATAAATATCTCCAAAACATCTCCCATCTTGACGACACACAAACAGCTCTTGGTTTCACATGGTCAAACTTCATAAATATTACCTTTGGAAAACATTGTCTGAATTAGTAAGGCACTATATGAAAACTTACAAAATGCCTCACAGTGAAATTATAAGTATTTATAAATTCAAAATGAAGTTGACACTAACTAACTGTAGAAAAGTACTGCTCAAACCACTTTTAGGTGCACATCCTACATACAAACGATATAGAATATTATTTAAGGGTGACACTAATAATTTGTATATCATCATAAGGTTTGTCAGTTTTGGGGTGAGTTTTAGCAGTGCTGATATTCTGTACAACTTCCATTCCTTTGATGACACGTCCAAAAACAGTATGCTTATTGTCTAGCCATGGAGTTGGAATGACTGTAACAAAAAATTGGCTCCCGTTTGTGTTTGCACCTGCATTAGCCATGCTCACTGTGTATGGTCTATCATGTCGCAGATTAGGGTGAAATTCATCTTCAAATTCGCCTCCCCATATACTCTCGCCACCAGTTCCCGTTCCAGTGGGATCACCAGTTTGTATCATAAAGCTTTTTATGACACGATGGAATATGTGACCATTGTAATAACCATTTTTGCTGTGTACACAAAAATTCTCAACAGTTCGAGGGCATTCTTTAAGGAAAAGCTTCACATGGATGTCTCCCAAGGATGTATGTATAATGGCACATTCATACAAACGTTGTACACCAGAAGCTTCTGTTGCAGAAATAATATCTTCTTTTGAAGGTTTTTCATTGAAAACATCTCTTTCAGCATCTTGATTTTTTGTGTCTTCTGGCTCTCTCCTGCTAAAAATAAAGAAACGATTCTTTTTAAAAGCTGTGCAAAACAGTGTAGGATCAGACTGATATGAATCTAGAGTTGGATTATCTGATGCCTCCATTTCCACTGTGACAGCCGCTTTAGTCCTGTGAGCTCGTCCCTGAAATAAGGCCAGTTTCAAAAGACGCAAGTTTTCAGGTTTTCCTATAACTCGCACACATTTATTAGTATGTATATTCACTACTTTAACACCGAGCATTGTAGCATAAAGAATTAAGTACCCACTTTCATCAAACACTATATTAGCCAAATTAATTGCTTCAGACTTTTCAAGATCACGTTCTACTGCCATTCGCCGTCCAAATTCCATGTTTGGAAGTTGTTGATGTTCTTGCTGCATTTCTGTATAATTTTGTAAAGTTTCACTGTACACACGAATCAACTTTCCTGTTCGAAATTGGAATACTCTAACTTTGCGGTCAGTAGATAATGTTGCAAATTTTTTGCCATCAGGTGAGAAGGCCATTCCTGTTGGAACAGTTCCATTTTTTGCAAATTCAAACAGATCAGTATCGAGTTTAGAATCAAATGCAACACATTTAGGAAATCTGTAATTTGTTTTCGGACCAGTCCAATATTCTAGAATTCCTGCCTTATCTACAGAGACCGCTACCTCAAATGTGGTATTGTATTTCATTAGTACTACAGGTTGTCTATGGAGAGTATTAAATTCATGAAGAGGAGTGTTTGTACCTCGGCCATCATACACAAAGATTTTGCCGGATGCTGCATCAGAAATTGCTAGTGCAGGTATTGGATCTCCAGGACAATGCACCCATTCAGCGCAAAGAGGGACATAATCAAGTCTCATCATATTTATCATGTCAAAATTAACAACATCAAAAACTTTCAGAGATTTGTCTGAAGAAACAGAACATAAAAACGTTCCGTTATAATTTGTTGTCAATTCTTGTATAGGTCCAAGGTGACTTCTAAAATGTTTAACAAATTCTATGAGTTCATCCATTTTCTTCCAAAATTTTATATGGCCATCAATACTACCAGTGATTAAAAAATCTGTTTTGGTAACAACAAGATGTGTAACAATATCTCGATGCATGAAACTCTTCTCGTAGGACTCCCCACTCGGTAAATTTTCTAAATACAAATGTTCATAATTTAACACTTTCATTTTCTTAGGAGCACTTCCTTCTTGCTTGGTTTCTTCACCATCGGAATCTCCAGCGCTCTTCAACAAATGACACTGTTTTTCCATTATGAACAAAAAATGATATCACACACACTACCAAAGAAAAGAGCAGTTTCTCTTCCAATGACTTTAACTCAACAATAGCATACAATACACAACAAAAAAGAGTTATCTTTAATAAAACTGATGATAGAAGTGGTAAAATAAAACTGAGAACAGGCAATGGAAAATTGTACAATGAAGGATATCAAATTTTCAACAGTCTTGCGTTCGCAAACAACATTTACAATTCAATTTTGCTATTATATACGTCCATTGCCATAACCCAACCATTGACACAGACAGGACGAACCAGAGAGTATTTTCAACATTGGATGCACTGAGCGCTGGCTGCCTGTTCACGACATTCACTGAATGCTCATGAGCGCATTAGCAGGAGTAACACCTTTACTGTTGCTCGTGATCATCGGTGGACTGTGAATTTTTGTTGCTAACAATCTGGAGTCTTGTCGATTAAAAATGTTTGTTAACTTAAAAAAACAAACACAATTTCTCGATCTTAAAAGAGTAATTGGAGGATAAAACACCCGACTTCAGCAATTACTTAATAAATAGCACGTGTATAAAGTTGGTCATATTGGCACTAATATTTTGTACACAGTCACGTACAGATAGTACGCACCTGGTTAGGTTAGTGTTTGATGTGAATTACTCTGTCAGAATTTGCTTTTGCAAAGCTTCGCCTCTGTGTAAATTGACATGAGATTTAGAGGGAATGATGAACGTAGATAGGTTTAGTTGTGATTAAAATTATCCAGTTACATCTTAAGAACTTGTTCATTTGCTGCCCGAAAATGTTGGAAAAACAGTCTTGTGATCAAGAAGATGCCAGTGATTCTCAAAATGATAGCCAGGAGCTCATAATTTGTGATGATAATAACGAGGTATTTTACTTCTTTCACTTTTGTGTAGGAAATTTATCTTTGAAAGTGTTATCAAAAACTCGTGTTAATTAATTCAAAATGAATTATTTTATGATTTGAATATGAAATATATTATTTTTACTGGAAAAATATTGACAGTGGATGAAAAGAGTTGTCAGAATGAGTCTCTCAAACAATAGAAACCGTAAACAGACTTTTAAAGTTAAGCGCTGGTCTATTTTCAATGTCGGTATTACTATTGCGTTAGGAAGTGATGGCCATGGTTTGACAAATTGCGTACTAACTTTTCCATGATTGTGAGAAACAAAACTTCGAAGTTACAACTTATTATAATATGAAGATTTTGTTACTTGCACTTACAATTTATTTTGTGCAATGTCTTGAAGGTGTGACCTTACATTTGCATATGCTCTTTGCTTATTTGCTCATTTTTAATCATTTGCTCTTTTTACTCATTTTTAATTTTTAAATTTGCAGTAAAAACTTTGTCATTCCATTTCGAATTTTCATGAGACAAAGTTGTAAGTGCAGATAGAAGTTTGTCATACTATTTTTTTAAATTTCATTTTGCAATTTTCAGGGAGATAGGGCTGTAAATGCTGATAGATGTTTCTTGTTGTTATTGCATTTTAGTTTACACTGTTAATAATTACAAAAAACTTTTCTTTACCTTTGAGGATAATAATGAACTAAATGGATACAAAACATATTAAATGGATGGAGAACATTAATTTATTAAATTGATTAGAGAAAAAAGGAGCAGTCCTTCAATTACACGTTTCTGATATATTTTTAAACTTTTTAGAAATACTGTAGCCTTGCAGTGTGAAAATAAGTTATTAATAACTTTCTATTAAAAATTAAAGCATTTTGCACATTGTTAATGGATTACACTAATAGAAGACTGTTCTGTCTTCGATAAGGGGCCACAGTGGCTCAGTGGTAGGTACTAATCCTTTCAATTACAGAAATAAAATTATATTCCATGCAAACAATCATTAGACATCTGTATTACATTATTAATATCTTCTCAACTCCTACCCTACATATCAGTTGCTCTTCAAAAGGTGTTATAAGTGGAGAATTGATATATAGTACTGTCTGTTCCCCACAAGGCATTAAAGGGAACATTGATTTTTTATATCCTTCTTCTTGCGATAAGATATTTCTGATGTTGTCTTTTGTCTTTGACTTTACTTCAAACATTCCAAGATGACTGGATGGTTTGATGAGAGAGGTCATTCTCTTCTCTCTTCTTTGTATTTAATGCTTGCAATATGCTCAGAATCTTATGGCTGATATAACTCACTTTATGAAGGATCTGACCAATTTTAAGATGTGTTATCTGAATAAATGGTATGGTCTTGTATTTGAGCAATTTTAATGTTACTGCAAAATCTTTGAAGTCCTTCTCTTGCTTCTGCCGTACTCTGTAAGGATTCCGTCAGTTCTCTTGTTTCAACAATGTACTAGTACCAGAGGTGAATAACAGCAGTGTGCAGTTACAACCTTGTCAAAGTAATTACTTTCAAAAGTTGTCAGCAGATAGAACTATGTCAAACTTCTTTGCTGCAAGAGGTTTATGAGGGAAAACGTAATTTTGTTAGTTTGAACTTTGTCAAACGGCCACGAAATATTTGCAAAAACCAATTTAACTTTATGATCATTAATATTTCGATAGTAATCTATATTGGATGGTTGAATAAAAGTATATTTTACTACCTATCCAACGTTTCAATGTATACTTCATTATTTGGGCAGATGGTACAGAAACAACCCAGAGAATCATTAAAAATTTCTTCAGAGTCATAATTACTGCAAACATCAATAAAACTATGCTATATAATAATGAAATTGTTTTTATTTTTAATGTTTCTCTGTATTGTTTCTGTACCATCTGTCGTAATGATGGTGTAATACACTTCTAAATGTGGGCAAGCTAATAAATTGTAATTTTATTTAACTGACCTGTTCCCATTAACATTTTACAGGCTACATGTAGAGTGAAATATAACAATAAATAAAATAATGCTGATCCAGTGACGGAGTTCGTTAAGGCAGTAGTGCTGTAGTTGTATTTGTGTTCGCCTTTCACCCCTATCATCACCATATTATGTCATCTTCACAGTTACTATAACATTAAATCCAATAGCAGTTGCTAATGACCTAGATGTTCATGCAACATTAAATTTAAAAAAAAAAGTTTTGTTTGCAGTGAACTTTAAATAAAGAAATATTTTTGAATATCAGTTTGCCAGTTCTTGCTACTGTTGTGCTTAGGTTTTTATTCAATTATAAAATTTATGGCAATTATTTATAATCATAATACACATATTCAGTGCTTGTTTTATAAAATTATAGGTTCGGGAACACTCCACATTAATTATTAATTTAATAGAAATAGTGATATATTTACAATATCTTCTTCTACTTCTGAGTAGGCCTTAGGCCTGTTTCATTCCTTGGATTTAAAAACTTTTGTGCCATCATCGCCTCGGTCTTCCGGGATATCTTTTTCCCACAGGTCTAGTAACATGTCAGGATATTTATAATAGAATTTAATAATTATTCCCAAGGTATCGGATTGCTCTTTCGCCGCATTCTGTCAGAAATCAAGCCCTGCACATTCAAGTATAATTTATAATAGTTTATAAAAAAATGAGCTGTAGCACTCAACTTTCATTTTTGGGAAGAAAATTATCATTTTAAGAAAGAACGCCCTTGTTCAGGACTGCAGTCAAATCATTGAACCTCAGAATAAACTGCTCAATTTAGATTAGAAATACAAACTTGTAATTCATAAATGCGTATGTATTTGTATATGTATACATTGGTTGTTGCTCTTTAAATATATACATTAGAATATTACGACCCTTTATAAATGCCTATTTCAGAATTTTAAGTGCCTATTTTGCCTCAGAAATTTACCAGTTTTAGTGCCTAAAAATCTGCAGCTTTTTTGTTACAAATGTTTTTGAGTAATCATGTAAATTTGAGAGAAAATGTGCACCTTGAATTTAAAATCTCTCCTATTTTATGCTTCAAAAGTAAATCTGAATTTCTGGAATATCCTTTTCTCTTTCAGATGAGTTCAACTAATGCAGAAATGGACACACCTGGAAAACAGAAACTTCGAAGCTGGTTAAATAAAAATTTAAAAATTGAAATGACAGATGGCAGAATATTAATAGGTATCTTTCTCTGTACAGATAGAGATGGCAATGTCATTCTTGGTTCCTGTGGAGAATATTTAAAAATGGAAGGTATTGACTGAATGAAATGTTTCTTATTTTGTTTTGAATTATATCTGTTTTATTTTACTTATAAGCTAATGAATATTGAAATGTGCACATTTTTCTCTTTCATAGTTGATTTATAACTCTGAATTGCACAACCACTTGTACTGTAGTGGTTTACATTGTGTCAATTGTGTTACATAATAAGTGTAGTTTTTTATGTTTGCAGATGGAGTTAATTTTGAAGAACCAAGGGTATTGGGACTGGTTATGGTCCCTGGCCGACATATTGTATCTATATACTTCGATGATGGGATGAATTTTAGTGGTGATGTTATGTAACTGATTCATTTGTTTTGTATAATTATGTACATAATTTTCAATCCATAATTTGATAATTTGTGTAATTTGATACTAATAACACAAATGACTATAAATGTAATTGTTTATTTTTGTTGATATCCCTTCCTAATTAACCTTGAAACATTTACAAACTCATCTGAATCTGTTCAGTCTTTGTTATGTTTTAAGAGTAACTGAGAATAAATAATATTTTTCACAATTTGCCACAACATTATGGTTTATAATTTTTAGTTGTGTGTGGAAGAAGTGTGTACAGTGGGCCATTAATTGAGCATTTTGCCCACGTATCCTAGTAGCCACAGAGTTACATGTCCATAGAGCAAAAGGGAATGCGAAGAGATTACAATCGGTTCCTCACAGATAATGGTGTGTGTTCTGAACAGCTTTGTCATAAATCAACTGTAAAAATACTTTTCATTCTTGATGTTTTAATCTTCAATTGTCATTAGGACAAAGTTAGAATAACCTTCAATTCCTTGGACAGCAAATTTGAGTATTGCTATTGTTATTGAAGGTGTAATGTATTATTCATTGCTAGCATGAATTGGCAATTTGAATAAGACAGTAGATTCCAGTGTATTTGCTAATTTACATAGCATACACTCAATGTGCTATTTTGTGAAGTAAAATTGTATTACAAATTATTTCTTGGTTCATTATTCTCTTGTATATTGAACTTCATCAAGACTACCCATATGTGAAAAAGACTTTTGCTCTTCAAGAAACTTTAAAAACAATAAAATCATTATCAATTACATTTTTGTGATTTTCAGTGTATCGACATCTAAGCTGTATGCAAATACACTGGGGATCAGACTCAATGAAGTATGGGAGAAGAGCAATGTGGATTTCGAAAGAGAACAAGCTCTAAAAATTCCATCTTTATATTAATGCTGTTTATAGACAAAAGACACTCTTTTAATATTTATTGATTATGAAAAGGTTTTTGACAATGTAAACAGGCAGAAACTCGTGGAAATACTTGAAGAGGAGAAAACCCCAAATCTGTTACACAAGGCAATCCAAAGTTTATACACGAAATTGAGAAATAAAATTCTGTTAAGGTAGGGAAGGAAGTCTGCAGCAGTAACAACCATCAGTGGCTTAAGACAAGAATGTGGATTATTGCCCAGAAAAGGCAATAAGATAGATACAATCTTGCACACAGATGACCAAACAAAACTTATCGTAATGCATTCCAAAGATGATTTGTAAAGTGGCCTAAAAATACTCCATGAAGATGGCAATCCAGCAAACAAAAGTTATCACAATACATGTCGAAGAACAAAGGGCAGATAAAATTGTAATAAATGGAAAATTAGTGGAATTAGTAAATACATTCTCATGTCTTGGAAATATAATTGTGTTCAACCAAACCCAAGACATGGAAAAAAAACTAAATAATTACAATAGAATTTCTGAAACAATTAAGAGACACTTAGGTATAGACATGGAACTTGAGACAAAATTTAAACTCCACAATAGAGCGGCTAAACCTAGAATCAAATTCTGAGCAGAAGAGGCATGCATGGGAAGGCAAGAGGGAGTAGCTGCCCCCCCTCCAATATTGGGGGGAAAAAAGTGTGTGTCTGTATATTCAATAAATAATAATCAATTAAATAAATAAAATTTAAAATGATGGATATAACGTAATTGCAGTACAAATAACAAACGTAAAGCATTAATATAAAAAAATATTTTCAAGTTTATAATAGCACACAAATTCTGGGTATGAGACATAATTAATGAAAGAGGAAAAAGAAAAATTATAGACAGCACATTGAGATTCCTAAAACACCTAATGAGACTCTCAAGTCTGAAGGATATTAGAAAGAAATTTAGAACTAAAGGTATAGTAGAGGAAATAAATTCTTCTCAATGGAAATGGAAGGATCACTAGGTGAGACTTAAACATATACTTTAAAAACTCATCTGGAAGTACAAACCTACAGGAAAGACCACAAAAGAAACAGCAGGAACACTTGATAGCAAAAGTGTATAATGTATAATTATAAAATGTATATAATAAAAAAATAATAAAATTGTTTATTAACATTTGTGTTTCCATGAAAAACAATACATCGTCAGATGGGTCAAAACACCTCTCATAATATTTGCCAAAAAATAATTAAAATATGTTGATGAAATTTCAAATAGAAAAATAAAAAAGTATGAGAAAATGTGACCAAACACAAGAATATAGAGACTTAAGAATTCAGAAGAAGTAAATAAAATTAATTTGAAAATGTTTATAAAATAGTATAAACATATTTGGTTCAGGCCAGTAAACGGTATAAATTTTGTAAAGTTTTAAATCAGAATGAGTTGTGATTTTGAACACTATAAATTCGCGGTAATATGGATATCAAGAAATGCAGTAAATTAATGATTTTTGGATGAGAGAGGCAAAGACAGACGAACAGGGAAATGGAGAGTGACACCAAGAGAGACGAGATTCAGAGAGACAGGAGGAATCAAAGTGACAGAGAGGGAGAAAGAGAGAGACGGGAGCAAAATCATGACAGCAAGGAAGAAAGCCGGAGAGAGAAAGAAAGCTTAACCAATAAACTTAGGCGTAACCAGGATTGACAAAACCCTAGAAAAATGTATTTCAGAGACAAAATAGTCCCCCTAAACTATATTAGACACCAACACTATTTTTGATTCTGTCTCTGACACTGCATTTCTCTGTCTCTTTGTTTTTCACTGTGTGTCTCGCGATTCACTCATCTCTCTTACGCCGGTTTTAGTCCTTCTCTCACCGTCTCTCTGTCACTGCCACTCTCCTTTCCTCTCTCCTCTCCTCTCCTCTCTCCTCTCCTCTCCTCTCCTCTCCTCTCCTCTCCT